CCCTCAGGGGGTCCAAGTGCGTCCCCCCCCCCCCCCCCCCCCCCCCCCCCCCCCCCCCCCCCCCCCCCCCCCCCCCCCCGCCCCTGTCTCTCAGACGCGCAAACTGTCGTCTCGCCTCTACAATCATTATGGCACAGGAATAAAGCCTGAGGGGTGGAGAAGGAGGGAGAGAGACGAAAAGGGACGGGGGCGCACAGAGCCAAAAATGGCGTTGTTGGCAAATACTTCATTTTTAGCTACAAAGGTTGCTTCCTACCTACCTACGTAGACAGCCAGCCAGCCAGCCAGATAGATAGATAGATAGATAGATAGATAGATAGATAGATAGATGACCATCTGCCCCTTCCCTTCGCCACTGCTCCTCCCAGGCGCGGCTCGCACTCGCAGAGGCCAACTCAATTTCAATTCATTTGCTATCCCAGCGGGGAGTTTACGGGTGGGTCGGGAAGTTGTCGGGGAGAAACAGAAAAAAACGCAAAGAAGAAGCAGAAAGGGAAATGTGGACAAATGACGACATAATTGATGGTAAGGTAATTTAGGAAATCATTCTCATTCTTACCAAGTCCGTCTCAGGTCGTGTGTGTGTCGTGTGTGTGTCTGGGGACGGGAAGGGGGGGGGGGGTTCTGCACCTCCCTGCCGGCCGCGGGGATCGGTTTATTTCAAATAGGAGGGGGGGGGGGGCAACCACTCGCTTCTCTACTGCGTTCGTAAAGCCGCGCGGTGACTCCCCAAACCGCACCGGGTTGGCACCGACACAGACGCAATACATGCACAGGCCGCTGACCGACATAATGCGCGACTAAACGCCGTCGTGCATCATCCCAGAGCCCCCCCCCCCCCCCCCCCCCCCCCCCCCCACACGCACTTGGAACATATATATTTATAAAAGAGAGAGAAAAAAACCCTTTTCCTTCCCTCGGGCGCAACCTCTGCTCCGACACATGGAGATATATACGAAGAGGAGTACGCAGGCCTGCGTTGCTCCGGAGCAACTCTGGAGTATGAGACGTAAACTGCCTGACTTTGGCGACGGCTACTCAAGTTCTGCCAGACCAACTTTAGACAAAGTGCGATTTTTTTTTGTTCAGTCGAAACATTAGGGTTTTCAGCTCAGCACCTCAAGAATACCAGAGAGCATTGAATCCTGCCATATCGGGTTGGCATTAGCAGCCCTATACAAAGTCATGGTCGCATAAGCAAATTTTCTTCAGAATTTATTGGCAAACATATTTGTTTCCATACACACAGGTTTTCGATCCCCGAACTGTGGGTAACTTGGTTAGGGATCATCCAGAATGTACGCCTGCCATTCGCCGTTACGAAACAGCCAAGTTAAGCCCAATCAAGCTCTCGTAGCGCCTGAGGGGTAGGCAACATCTCGCCTACAGCGCATACGTGTTCTGCGGGGTGGCCTACCCCGACTCTCGCAGGCGCCGAGCTTTCATAATTTGCCGAATGAATCTGAGTACAAAGGAAGTGTACCCTAACCGGGACCAAATTTCGTCGGCAGTATAACTGAAGTTTCTTTGCACTGTTGAAACGGTATTCTGGATGTATCGAGCAGGTGTTTCGGACACTCAGCGTCGAGGCTACGATAACGTAATTGTTATTCGGGACTGTGACCATAAACTCTCGGCGGAGTGCAGCGACACCTCTTTTCACCTCACATCTCATTTCCTTCTCTCGTTCTCGCTCTAGCCTCGGGTGAGATAAGGACAAAAGACCTACCTGCTGGAGTCCATGCTGGAGTCTGGCCGCACCCGCGGCGCCTGCAACACAGACGGAATTTGTAAGAGCAGGCTTGACACACACACACACACACACACACACACACACACACACACTCTAAATGTCCAAGGACAATTTTTGTAACTAGCACCGGACTTCTGTGTGCATAACTAGCTCAGATACAATATTGTAACTACCAACACACATTTAGTGACTAGCAAGTCACAATATTGTATCTGAATTTAGTTATGCACGCAGAAGTCCGGTGCTAGTTACAAAAATTGTCCTTGACATTTAGAGTGCACACAGAGAGAGTAAAACTATCATCGTAAATCCAAGTCATTTTTATCATTTTCTAAAATTATTTTCAACGACGATGTTATTTAAGAAAACTACAATGAGCAATTATTGTTCGTCAGCACCGAACAGTGAACAAACATAACGTGAACCTTACGAAAAATACTGGAAACACTGTCTTGCTTATTTGCTGTGTGCGATATTATTTGAATGAAAAAATGTTTCCGAGACCCCCTTTTTTTTCAAAACGGTGGTAGAAACACTAACAGTGCCCTAGAATGGACGGTTCGACACGGCACAGACTCCGAGCCGGGGCGTCTGGCGCGGTCTCGCCCTCCTCCTGCTGCCACCGCAGGCAAAGCCCTCTGTAAGGCGATTACCAGGCGAGGTATCGCGTCACCTTGACTCTCCTGGGCCGCCGAACAGGGCGTCGCCCCCCCCCTCTTCTCTCCAGCCATCCGTGGTACTGTATTTTTAGAAACGAAACAATAATAAATCGCAGGATCAAAGTGTGATTTTAACAACGAAAAATGTTTCTGTAATTTTTTCGTCAAGTATATTGTTCTTCGGTATAAGTTGGGCAGTTTAAATCACCCCCCCCAAAAAAAAAAACCTTCATGCCCAGAAGAAGAAGAGAACACGTTTTTGGTTCTTTATGCGGACTGCTCCGCGGCAGCTGAACATTTTTAAGGTGTTTTGAAGGTGCGCGTGGCACAATAGCTCACTGGGGGCTCCGGCGGGCGACCTCTCGAGGGCGCTGAGCAGGGCCTCGGAGGGAGACAAGGGCCCGTTTAGCGCGAGGGGGCGGTCGCGTGGGCGGCGACGGGGGCAGGAGGGCAGTCCAGCGCTGCTCACTCGACTAGCCTCCGCACGGCTACAGCATAATGCATTAGGTACAATGGGAACTGTCATTGAATGGCGCGCCGTGCTGTAGCCGCTCACCTTACAGCCAGATCAAACACGGCCGCCCGGCGGGGTCAAGTAGTGGCCGAGAGAGTAGGGGAGGGGGAGGGGGAGAGGGAGAGGGAGAGAGAGAGAGAGACCTGTGGCGTGACGCTGCGGGCCCTCAGGGGGTCCAAGTGCGTCCCCCCCCCCCCCCGGTCCCCTCCCCCTCGGGGGGCCCCTTGTCATTGCACCGCTTGGCAGTAACAGCACCACGGCTCGGTGGTGCGCCCAGCTCCATGGCCGCCAGCTGCCCTCCGAGAAACAGTGCCGTGGCATAACCTAACCACCAAACGCGGTCAGCGAATTTTGTGTATACATTTGGATTCAGTTGCATAAATGCACATTCTTTGACAAGTCTGGAGTTTTACGAAACATTGCAGCCTTCCTCATTCATTTGTCGGCCGGAGGCTGCTGCCATCTGCAAAGCAGAGCCAAAGAGGCCATATCGAACTGCAACCTCTGGTATCTACAATTCATTGGGGGAGAGAGAGAGAGAGCTGTCGCTCTGCAAGCGCTACGTCACCACGTGACCTATACGTGCAGCGGCAGAGTTCGAGACTGACCGGCTGTCCGATTGGAGGGAGAGGAGAAAGAGGGGGGGGGGGGGCACTCGCGAGTCACCATCCAAACAAACGGGGAAAATGCTCCGCGAACATTTTCTATGTGAGACGGCACATAAGAAACAGACCAGAGGGATTTTCTGAATTCTTTACCCAATCTCTCCCGGCTGCAGCAGCAGCAACAACAGCATCTATGACGTCACACAAGAGGCGCCCTCGTCCTGAAATAGCCACCGTGGCGCCTCTACCGTGCGCGCGCGCGCGAGTGTGTGTGAACACACAGCGTAGCACCGGGGGGTGGGGGTGGGGGTGGGGGGCGTGGCTGTGTCTGCTCTTCGACAAGAAATGAATGAAAATTAGTGCGTGGCATCCATGCCGTTGGAACTGAACGTCAGTAACACACACAACCAAAGAGGATCGTGGGGTGGGACCATTATCGTGTCACACCTACACAGGTGAGTGACGAAAGTATAGGTGAAGAGCTGCTCATCATTCAAGTGCGTGGCACTGCTGCAAGGCATTCACTAGAGCAACGTTTTTTTTTGTCATTCACTTGTTTGTTTTTCGAATGTCACACGCTATTACGTTATGGGCAAAGTACTGTTTGAAATCGGAACGTCTTTAACTGACAAACTGTGCAACTGCTTCACACGTTGAAGTGTGCAACTACAAGTTAACTACTTGCAAGTGTTTAGCTGAGTCGTAGCACACTCGCAATAAGTGTTCAACTCGGTGGGTGAGCACTTGTAAGTGTGCAATTATTGTCCTGCTGTTTAATGCTGCACATGTAAGAGTCCAGTCTAAGGGAGTGATCAACAGAGGAGTTTCACACTGACAAGTGCACAGCTTCTGAGTTGAACACACGCCAGCACTGTCAACGCCGCGTGGTCGCCTAGCATGGCCAAAATTTTGGCATTCGAAGAGGCTTAAATTGGCAACCTCTAGACGGCCAAATTTTGGCAGATTTTATAAGGGCTGCCAACATTTTGGCATGATAGGCGTTGAAACAGTGAGTGCACAACTACGGAGTTGAATACTTGGAAGTATTGAACTTACAGTTAAACACTAGTGTTAAGCAGTTGCACACTTGGTTTATCATGTAAACTGACTCGACTCATATGCTCCGCTGTGCACCCAGAAAATCGTTTCCTTGAAACAAGGCGAAATTGCCGTAAGTTAAAGAAATTAGCGTCAAATTAAGGAAATTTTTCTTAAAGAAATATAACGAAATGTTCTCTTCGGCTTAAGGAAAAAATTGCCTAAATTCAAGGAAAATTCCTTATTTTAAGGGCAATTTTACTTTGAAACAATGAAATTTCTTTGATACAAGGAAAAAAATTCCTTATGTTTTTTTAAAGAAACACTTTTCTGGGTGTGGTCCCGCGTGTATTATTTTCGGTTTGGCGCGCCCCTGCCCACCCCTGGCCCCATCCCCGTCATTAGCTCCATAACGTCCTAAGTAGTCGTATAACCCCGGCTCCGCCCGGGTCCACCGCCGCCTCGTTGGAGACCCATTCCTCAGCCGGCTCGTTGGGCTCTATTTATGTTTGGGACGCTTCATTTGTAGAACACACGCCGATCGCTGTGGGGCCCCAAACCGTCATTATTAGTGCCGAACAGGGCCAATTAGTGCAGACGGGCCAAAAGAACCAGCTTTCGGTTATTACTTCACTGAAAATAATCAACAGGATCTTTTCAACTTGTCATAACCAAGTACTTTCTTTAAATAATATTATTAAGATGGTCTACCCCTCTTGCAAATGCAAGCCATTGAAGATACATTTATTGGCTCTTTTTTCTTCTTCAATGCTTACGTACTTTCACGTGTTGTGTGTCAGGGCTACGATACAGCAGCAGTGTTTCGGCTACGCATACCCTGGGATGGTGCCTTACGGGTAGAGCGAGTAGGCAACCCAGCATGCTATTGTGTCGTGGTGCTGACACACACGGTACAGAAAATTTTACTCAGTGACACTAAGTATACATACAGACCTCCATGGCCGAGGCCGAGTTCGGCGCGTCGTCGGCGCTTCGGCTGTGGAAGGGCATGGCGGGGCCGATGACCGTCGGGGGACGCGTCGCCGGCCTCCTCCTCGGCGTCCCTCCAGGGGCTACGGGGCCCACCTCACGGCAGCGAGCTGCCTCGGCCACGGCCTCCCAGGGCCAGCAGCCATCCTCACCACTCTCACTTCGACTTCACTCGCGAGCCACTTGCAATCACTCTGCACAAACTCATTCACTGCCACTTCACTTCCCACGTCACTGCCACACGCAGGCTGAATGCACCTCCCTCAAATGTCAAACTGTTGACACGGGCTGACACATCGATCCTCAGGGGGTCCCCGCTCTTCGACAGCTCGTCACCGCGCATTAAACCGCGGCCGAAATGACACAGACACCATCAAAACACAGTTTCGTAAATTACATGCAAGTCGTTAGGTTTTGAGCAGAACTCTAAATTTTTATTTTTTAGAGCAAAGGAGCTGAAACCGGGATCGTTGTCATGACTGTAAGGGGCGTGTTTCTTTTTTTTTCTTTATTAGTTGAGCTCGTAGCGCTCTGTTCTGCGCCCTCCCCGCGGCGGTCGCGGCCCCGGTGCGCCCGACGGCGTGGTCGCGAGCCGACTGGGGCGGGCCGGCGGCGGCCTACTCGGCGGCACCCGGCGCGGCTGGCCCCCGGCCCAGAGAGAACGCTCTCTCCCTCTCTCTCACTCACTTCGTCTCTCGTATCTCTCTCTCTCTCTCTCTCTCGCTCTCTCATTTCTCTGCTCAACTCTCGCTCCTCCCGCTTACCCCCCCCCTCTCCGCGGCCACATGGTCCTGAGGCGGGCCGGGTCCGAGTGACGGCCGCCTGACTGACGGAGGAAGGGCGCCAGACGAACGAGTGAGAGGCGAGCAGGGATGAGGCGGGATTGGCATGCCAGAGCCAGGGAAGTGCATGATACAGTCTCAATGGAAACAACGAAGTGAGGTTGAGGAAAACGCGTGACGAAGCCCCAAAACGTACACAGTAAGGCTACGACGGTGTGCTTGAGGGCCGATTAAAGTGCGCTCTACTCAGCAACACTTGGTATTTATTTTGAAGCGTGTCCTGCGCGGCCCAGCTGTGGGCCAGCGCCGACCAGCGCACATCCCGAGACTGTTTCGACTTGGTTCGTACCTCCCTCCCCCCCCCCCCACTGCTCCTCGACGCACGGGGGGAGGTGGAGGCGGTGCTTCGGACGAGCGGAAAACGTGTTT